CAAAAGATAAAATAACAACATGCTTATTCACCTGTCCACATGCAGAGAACATCTGCACAAAGAAAGAAGCATATGACTAGTAGTGGCTTCTGGAAAAGGAAACTCAGTTGCTGGGAGATCCAGTTGTAAGGAAGATATACTTTTTATTTTATACCTTCTTTTGCCTTTTGCTATTATATCATATGAATGTAATATTTATTCAAATAAAAAGTGGGACTATTTTTAAACATTTCAAAAGAACATGTGACGATTTATCAGGTTACCTTTTATGGAAGCATGATGCCAAGAGAAAGTCTAGAGAAACAAGGTATCTAGGGAGGTAACTATCAATCAGGAACGGAGCCAGAAAATTGAGCACAAAGGAAGTTTAAGAGCTAAATCAAGGAATACCAACTGTCTGCCCCAGCATCCGCCAACCTTATTTTAGGCAACATACATGGCTGTCTCCAAGGCGTGATTCAGCCTGTCTTGGCAATTTGAAAATCATTTTAATAATTCCTTTAAACTTTAAGGCACTAAAATCAATAGTGTTTACTGTATCTGATTAATCCATTTCCACTCACCATCTACTGGCACAGATGTTTTCAAGCTAATTTTAGCATCAGACTTTTAAAAAAAATAAAATATTATGCAGCATCCCAATATCTATATAAATAAAACGAAGCTGTTCTGTTTCAATGAGGGAAGGATAGGGGAGGCCCACCAGCCCATCTGCTCAAACTTCCTTGTTCAAATACTTGTCTCAGCAGTCTACCCCGCCTGGTCTCATTGAATACAGCTCAGAAACCTTTGTTTCCTGGAAATTAAAGGGGCCCTCCTAAAGAACAATAGAGGTTTGGTTTGGGCAATGTAAGAAGTATTTTTCTGACAAGCAGCAAGACAGGCTATGGGTGGTTCTAGTTTTGCTGGCAGATGAATAGGTCATTATGGACAAGTCTGTAGAACTCTGAAGATTTTTTCATGTAACTCTTCCCATCTGGAGGTTCCTAAAGTATTATTTATATTCACTTAATATATAGCTATGATTAAAGGTGCTATGAAAGCCAGATAATTAGACTGTGTTTCCACCTGTCAGAATCTATGCCCAATGTAGGGCATTTTTTATGCCCTATGTATTTTTTATGCCCAATGTAGGGCATACTTTATTTGTATCATGGGTTCACTTCTCCCATATCATCTGTTCCCTGCCTCTCAATATCGACAAATTTAATCCAATGTTAAAATAAGATCTCTAAGATCTTCCTTCTTGGCATCCCAACTTCTGTATGTGTGCGTGTATGTATGTATGTGTGTATTGTGTGTGAGTTTGTGTGTGTGTTTGTGTGTGTATAGGAGAGGACTTCAAAAAGTTCTAGGAAAAATGGAATTAAAAGATAAAAATAAAAAATATAAACTTTATTTCTCAACATAAGCCCCATCAAGTTTAAGATACTTATTTAAGGAAAGGTACCAGATATTTAGTCCATTACTGGAGGACTAAAGAACTGAGGGTCCTGGGAATTTAACCATGTCAGTACGATCATTTTTATATTATTGACTAAAGAAAAATGGATGTCATTTACTGATGTTTTTTAATATTAGAAAACAAAAAGAAGCCAGTAGGAGCCAAATCAGGACTATAAGGTAGATTCCTAATGATTTCCCATAGAAACTCTCATAAAATTGCCCTTGTTTGATGAAAGGAATGAACAGGAGCATTATTGTGGTGGAGAAGGACTGCCAATTGAAACTTTCCTGGGACATTTTTCTGCTGAAGATTTGGCTAACTTTCTCAAAACACTCTCATAGTAAGCAGATGTTATCATTCTTTGGCCCTCCAAACAATTAATAAGCAAAATGCCTTAAGCATCCCAAACAACTGTTGCAATGACCTTTGCTCTTGACTGGTCCACTTTTGCTTGACTGGAGCATGTCCACCTCTTGGTAGCCATGGCTTTGATTGTGCTTTGTCTTCAGGATCATACTGGTAAAGCCATGTTTCAGCTTCTGTTACAATCCTTCAAAGAAACGCTTTAAGATCTTGATCCCACTGGTTTAAAATTTTCATTCAAAGTTCTGTTTTTGTCTGCAGCTGATCGAGGCACAAAAATTTTGGCACCTATTGAGTGGAAAGGTTGCTTAACTCTAATTTTTTAGTCAGAATAGTGTAAGCTAAATCAATTGAGATGTCTATGGTATTGGCTTTTGTTTGTGCTGATAATCATCAATCTTCTTCAATTAGGGAACTATTCCATAGTGTGCAGGAATATGTAAACCTACCTTAAAGGCCGAGGGAGATTTGAGGCCAAAGAAAGAGGCTGACAAATCCACTTACTCAAAAGAAAAGTATTTCATATGGACTTACAAATAGAAGTAATGTTGCAAATGGAGGCAAGACAGTGGATTCTCTGTACCCACCCTCCACAAAATATCCTTTATATATAAAGCTTTTTTGGTAAAACATGTGCAGCTTCTCATATCTCAGATTTTTGGGCCCAAACTCATGACAATGGGGAAGGTTAGATAAGTAACTTTATGAGAGTTATTTATGCTACAGGCATTGTTTAAAGACCTTGCTATAGAACATTTTTATATGCAGGAGTCAAACATTACTCGTCATGGTGGTTCTGTTTCAAGATAGCCTCACTCTTGCCATGCAACATGGTATTTTTCCACAGGCACAAACAAGATTAATTTGCTCCTTGCAAATTGGTGTGGATGATATGACAACATGGTTTTCATCTTCAACATCATCTCATCTCTTCTTAAAATGGTTATCAATTTGTAAACTGCTGATTTCTTTAGGGCATTGTCCTCATAAATTTTTTGTAAAGCATCAATGATTTAATTATTATTCAACCTAAGCCTCACCACAAATTTGAGGTTTGTTCTTGCTTCAATTTTAACACAATTCATGTAGCTACAATAGGGGCCCTTTTCAATGCCTTATTTTTCTTAGTGCCTCAAACTAGATCCCATTCAGACATGTTATAAAATTAGTATGAGTTTATTTTGGTGCAAAAAAAATTTTAAATCCATGCATAGTTTTTTCATAATATTCATTTGCCTGAGCATTTTGAAGACCCCATATATATTATTTATGTTCTTTACATGTATGTGTTTGTGTGTGTATATATATATATATTACATATATATGTAATGAAGAATAAGTAATATCTGTTCCTCACCTGTGGCAAGGCCCAAGACTGCTAAAACAGAAAACGAGTTAACAAAATAAAAAGTGTAACATTTTATTTCTAGAGAGTTTTACATGGTATAGAATCTTCAGAAATGAAGATACACTCAGGCAAACTGTGTTTTATGAATATTCATACTGATTATGACTGAAGGACAAAAGGATATTACCTAATGGTAAACTGGGGGGAACTTAGCAAGGCCCGTCTGTTCAGATTCTTCTTGGCCTCTTCATCTGACATTTCTTTCTTCCAGATATAGGACAATACAACTATCACATGAAAATCTTCAGGAGAAGAGGGAGAGAGAAGAAAAGGAAAGAAGAAAAGGAAAGAAGAAAAGAAAAGAAAAAAATGCCCTTCCTACTTCTACAATTTTCTTAATTTCCTTCAACTTAAAATACTCATTATGCCAAGGTACTATATATTTTGGGGTACCACGTTTTGAACCCCAATATATGTAATATATATTTCTGTACACATATGCATTACTGTATATATAATACAGATACTACATCTATAGTATTACAGATTATATATATAATTATATATATTTCACATATACAAATTACTTCCTGCTTTTAGAACTTTACATATAATAATTTATATCCATAAATGATATTCTCATTGTATTCCTGACCCAGTGGTTCAGTCACTATAAAATATCATGGTTAGTTGGGATAGATGAGGCTGAAGAATCTGACATTTTGCTCAAACTATTTTCTGTTTCACCATGCAAAATTGAGCCAGTTTATAAATGGGAGCATACGTGTAGTTACTTAGCAGTGTTTCTATGAATAGTAATATTAATTCATGTATGCAAAAGGCCTGACATGGTAATTGTTCAATAAACTATTAGTTTATCCAAGTACTCTCCTCTAACCCTCTTCTCTTCTTTACTGATTAAAGAAGGGTAGCCATAATCAGGGAGTGTCAAAAATGCTATGTGTTTCTACTATATAAATCATCCAACCATTTGTACCCCCTAAATCTATTGAAATAAATACTTTTTAAAAATAGTATGTGTTTTCAGTGGAATGGAAAGGTGTGTAAATTTATTTTAGCATTTAGCTAACACATACAATGAAAAAAATCACATATATAAAGATGATGAACATCAAATCTATGAGTTATCTGCATTTCAGAAAAATCATACATACTTCATCACCAGTTTACCAGCAGGTTTATTGTAGCTATAGCACTGGTGTCAATAAATAAGATGGTGCATGTTATTTACAAGAATATATGATATTCATGCCTCTTCTTTCTCATAGTTGAAGCTTATCTCATTTAACACATACATAAAGAAAACTGACAGCCAGGAAAAAATGTTTTTTAACTTCAACCCTTTACAAGTATTCCTTGGATTGGACAAGAAATATTGATAGCATTTAAACTTTAGCTGTAACATATCTGAATTGGATCCATCAATTATTAGTAAATTTGCAAACATTCTGGAATGAGCTGTAACATAACAGTCACTTACATAACAGTCACTTACTTACTTGAGCCCAAGATATCTCATGATAACTCCTTTCATCCCTCTGAGTTGGTCTTCCTGATTTTGATCTCTTCTATCATGTTATTTCCTTGCTTAAAGAGTTATATTTGTTATTACTTAAAAATAAAGGTTAAAAAATTCAGCTAGTTGTTCAAAGCTATTCCCAATCAAACAGTAAGTATTCTGTTGTCTGTGTAGGATGATGTTAGTTAAGCCAGTAGTTCAGTTCAGATGCTTTGGCTCCATATCCATATATCATGTGGTCTATCGCTTTGTCACTCTATTAGTGAGTGACACTAGCCTAGATTTTCCATAGCCATTCTTACCTCTGAGATTTTGATCAAATTTTTGTCCTTGTCTGGAATCCTATCACCCCTTCTCCATCTTCACATGGTCAACTTCTCTCAACTTCTAATACCTGGTTCAAGTCCAGATTTATCTAAAAAAGATTGAGGTGGGGGCATTAATTATTTGCCCACAACTACACCATCTTTGCATTTAGAATCATGGCAGCTTATGAACTCATTTGGTATATGACCATTGGCATATTTATTTAAATCTAATAGTTTTCTGATGATTAGTCATATCATACAGGAATTGTGATTGACACTTTTTTGAACCTTCTCAGCACAATAAAGGAGTGAAGAGTGGCTAGTCTATATATTTATGCTAAATTGATTTGGGCCAAATATACCTAAAAGACTACTTGGGTTTTTTGGTTGTTGTTTATTTTAACATTTAAAAATATTTTAGTGCTGGCTTTTCATCTTTTTTTCAGGTTCTTCCTATTTTACACACGGGCATTTAAGAATAAATTTTATGAGGTGTAGTTCAGTGGTTTTCAAATTTCAGTGTACATATAGACTTTCCTGGGATCATTTTAAAAATACATAAGCTAGTTTCTATTTCCCATAGTATAGGCTCTGAATGGCCCTCTGGACTAAAACAAACTTTGAAAATTGAAGAAGTACTAAAACAATAATTATAAATTTATTACTGACCTGATAAGTAAGATATTTGTAGAAGTAAAAATGAAGTAAAAGCAAGGACTTGAGAAAGTGAATTACAAAGCCAGCTTTCACCTTGTAACCCAGAGCTTCCATTGTGATAGCTGCACAGAATATAAGAGCTTAGAGTGACTAATCATGATGGGAGTCTAATAGGAAAGTACTTCAAAAACTTATTATAAAATGAAAAATTAACAAATGGGTAAATATAAAATTGAATATAAAAGTTAGTTTTTCTTGATCTTAATGAGTTGAGAGCTGGAAGGGAGCTAGAATCTCCCTTACATAGGTTTATGGTCTGAACACATAGTACAAAGGTCTTTCAAAAAATTCAAGAAGATAATTTAATTGAAAGTGATCCTAGACTGGTAGTGACCATGAATAACCAATACAAGCAAATAAAATTACCCTCAGGAAAAAAAAAAAACAAAAACAACAATTCCAATAGAAGTATCAAAGAATTTCCACCAAGTTTGGAAGGAACATGAGCTCAAAGTTTTTTTTAAAAAAATCAGGCCAGGCGCGGTGGCTCACGCCTGTAATCCTAGCTCTCTGGGAGGCCGAGGCGGTTGGATTGCTCAAGGTCAGGAGTTCAAAACCAGCCTGAGCAAGAGCGAGACCCTGTCTCTACTATAAATAGAAAGAAATTAATTGGCCAACTAATATATTTTAAAAAAAAATTAGCCGGGCATGGTGGTGCATGCCTGTAGTCCCAGCTACTCGGGAGGCTGAGGCAGAAGGATTGCTCTAGCCCAGGAGTGTGAGGTTGCTGTGAGCTAGGCTGATGCCATGGCACTCACTCTAGCCTGGACAACAAAGCGAAACTCTGTCTCAAAAAAAAAAAAAAAAAAAATCAAAACACAGATGAAAACAAGGGAGCATGAGTGAAAAGTCAGAGTGGAAATCAAAAACAGTATAAATAGACATAAAAGGTACCATTTATTCAATGTACATAATGGAGACTCTTAAGTAAGAATATGTAATATGTATCAAAACATCAAAGAGAGAGATGCTTGGTAGAAATCCTCTATATCTTAATTTTAGAAAAATATATGACTGAATATATTTGTCAAAAAACATTGAATTATACAACTACAAAGGGTGACTATTACTGTTTATAAACTGTTCCTCAAATCTGACTTAACAAAAGAACTATCATCTACAAAGATCTTTAAAAAAAGAAAGAAAGAAAACTGTGGAACAGAGCCCAGGTGATAATTAGAGGATATTTATATTTTTACATGCTTCTAGTTTTAAAGAAGCCTGAAAAGATTTAAAACATCAACTTTAGACAATAAGAAAACAAAGCAAAATAAAATCTCTGCAAAGAATAAAAAAATAAAATAAAATAAATGCTTAAATTAATATAATAGGTAACAGATATCCAGTAACAAATGCCAACAAGCAACATGACATCTGCTTCACTACCCATGCTTCTGAAAGCCAGCCAACCGGAAACACACACTGATAGCCACACTTGCACAGGGAAATACTGAGCAATCGCCAAACACTTGTACCTCTGTGATCATAGCAATCCTTGAACTCTGTGCTTGCCACAACCTTATATTAATACTCTCTGCTTTGCTCAGAGAGAATGCAATAAACATTTTTCAGATGCTCAATTGTAGTTTATTTGTTACTATATACCTCTTGAAAGTTTTCAACAGGTTCAAGGCTCTTGCTGCTTTTCTGTACAACCTAAGGCCCGTGCTCAGAGAGAGCACTTGCTGATTATCTGTAAACTTACAGCCCAGACCTCTTCCCTCTGTCTGGATATATAGCTAACCGATGGCTGGTCATCACCTGTATGCTCTGCAGACACTTCAGGTTGGTAAACTGATCTCACTGTACTCCTACTAAACCATCCTCCTCTTCCTGTATTTCTTGTGTAGTATCAGCATTCTACCCAGTATCCTAAGCTAGAAATCTGAGCTTCCTACTTAACACCTGTCTCTCTCTACATGCCCATATCAATCAATCACCAAAACCTGTTCATTTTACCACTTAAAGGTATCTGTAGTTCAGGAGTTCCCACCTGTGGCTGGATTGAAATCACCTGGATAACTTTAAAAAGTACCAATCCTTCAGTGTAAATTTGGATTTAAACCGTGTTGAAGGGTAGAAGGGCCTTTTGAAGGGTAGAAGGGCCTCTGAAATATCAGAATATTTCAAAGCTCCTTAGTTGTGAAGCCAAGGTGGAGGACCAAACACTGCCCTGTCTGCTTACCTACATTATTACACAACTCAGGACCCCGTAATTTGTCACATAGATTGTCAAAACCATTATTAAGACCAGTTAGGTTCCTGGTATCCAATATTATTCACTTCAAATTCATCCTTCATGCAAAATGGTAGCATCATAGCTATAGAAATGTGACCATTTCTCTCCCTTTTAAGTTTTTTTCCATGACCCCCATCATTTAAGCAGAAAATCTAAGCTATTTCAGCAAGTCCTATGGCCACTCCCCATCATATGCCCCCTGGTCTGAGGATCCATACCCTCATTTTTTGTCACTCAGCTTTTCAATATAATCTGGCATCATTGAAATTCTTATTTTCTTATGTACACACTGTTGTGCTTTCCCTTCTGCCTAGAATGACTTTCTCTATTTCTCCACCTAACTAGTCGTCAGGTCAGACTTATCCATTAATACTAGTTTGTAAAATAGTCCAACAATTCCTTCTCCAGGAAGTCTTTTTTGACTCCCCAAGGCTAGGTGATGTTACTCTTCTTTATGTTCCTATTAATATAATACTCAAAGCTAATCTTCCTCACTTCTTGTGTAGTAGCAGCTAAGGTAAACTTGTGTAGTATCAGGCTAAGGTAAACTTAGCCTGCCTTATCATATTTTTATATTTCTGCCTCCCTCAATAGGCTATAGTTCCCTGAGTCCTCTCAAAGTTTAGTTCAACCCTTGATATGGGATAGATTGATAGGAAATTCAATAATCAATAAAAGTAATATTTGTATTTCATTTGCTTATAACTTATATGTACACATACATAAAATACTCATAGAGTTGGACAGATGCAACAGCAGCCATCAGAATACAACAACAGTAACATAGAGGAGGGAGCCATTTATAGGTAGTGGAAGTAAGGGGTGATTAGTCCCAGCTAGAAGTGACTGATTAGGAGACTGGCCTCAATCTAGAACTGACTTCATTACAGCAATTGCAGTTAAAAGATATCTAAGTTTCACTGGACCCAGAAGAGTCTTAATGGCAGCTTTTTAATGCTGCATTAGAATGTCATTTCTTTCCACAATGTCACTTATAGTCACTATGTTTTCATTTTACAGAGACTCTGATTGAAAATTTCCAAGTGGCAATTTATAGTAATGATGTTTGGTTATAATACCTTGTGTGTGGTGGAATCTTCCATAATATAAGTCTTGTCTCTGGTTCTTACCTATGTGAGAGTCACAGACTATAAGTAATATTGCTTGACCATGTGGAACACAATGTGAACAGAGAGGTGGAATGATATCTTTGCAGTTTTTATCCAACCACCAGATTGCAACTATCTTTAAACTTCCTCTCCGTTATACAGTTCTCACCTCTCATCAGCCTAGTCACCAACCACCTGAACTTTCAAAACTCTGCATAATACACGTAAGTTATAGAACTCAAGAAATTTAGAGAATCAAAGGGTAAAAGTGCCTTATGGGTGCTACATTCCTGTTTTTCCTTTGAGCACTTCCTTTTGTTCACATATTCACTACAAAAGTGCTTGTATTAGCTGAATTTTATCTCTAGCTCTAAGATCCTGGAAATGTATTGTCTAATAGTAAATTCATTATCACAAAATGATGGTTCAACCAAACAATTTGGTTTCCTTGTGAAGTTCATGGCAAAATGTTTCTCCATAAATTCTGTGAGAAATAAACTAAATTCTTGTGGGAGACTAAGTAGATACTGATACTAAATAAAGGATACAGGTATATGACATTGCATTGTCAGAGACTATTTGATTAAAGTCATCTTCCTGTGAATAATTTAAGATTTTAGAGTTAGTTTTACCTCTTTCAGGTCAGCAGGGCAACATTTGGTGCACTAAACAATTACTGCCTCACTAATTTCCTTCCTTAAGTGTTTCCTTACTAACTTAAATGTACTCGTATGCATTCTTCCAAAATGTTCAGTGACATGTTCATGGAAATTTTGTAGTTTTCCTTCACCATGAAAATGTCCCAATTTTATAAGATTTTTGTTTTTCTCTAAAGGAAAACTTTTCTTCCTATAAACCTTTATGCTTTGGTGTAACAGAGTTTAAAAAAAAATAATAGTAAGTCTCTTATTCTGGCTGATTAGAGTCTATGAACAATGACATCACCCTATGATCAAATTCAGCAATACAAGATTAAACAAAGACAGGCATTTCTCTTTCCCATGATGAAAAAAAATGTCAGGAAAGATATACATGTTTGCCTGTTCTTTATGGATGGCTTGGGTTGGCACTGATTAAAATTGCTACTGATGAGAGAAATTACCTGGAACAAGAGTTTCTAAAGAGATAACTGTTGTACTTGGTTATCCCTGTTTTTGAAGTCAAGGGAGGTGATAAGTCCATCCTGATATAGATACGCATGCTGGTGCATCCTCTGAGGCATGGAACAACAAGGCTTCCTGTATTCCGCATCTGCCCAGTTTCTTTCAGTGCTTTAGCAATATGACTAAATATAAGACAATGTTCTCAAATTCCTGCTAAATAGAGCAATGGTTTCCAATCTCTGTTTCTTTTTGTCAGACATGATTGATGGCACTCATGTGACTTGGACCACTTTCACATACATGCTCAAAGTTATCTACAAATCCAGAGTTCAGTTCCCTCTTTCTCATTAAGAAAGTCAGGGATTGAGCTGGATGGTATAGATATAACTGAATTCTCTCATTTTCATAAAAAAAAAAAGATAAAAGGAAGATAACTCATGACTTTTGGTATTTTAGCTTTCATAAGTAAGAATTATTTGGTGACTCCTTGCAACTGATCATCTCATATCAATGTTTCAGGATCCATTGGAAGTGAAGATTTGATTGATAACATAGACATAAAATTTAGATGTCTCTGATTCAGAATTTGTGATACTTCACAAAGCCTATAAATAGTCCTTAAATTGTTTAATGTAGCCTTTAATTATTCAGTGTCTTCAGAAGCATTTTTAACATGAAGGATTCCTTCATGAGGCTCCACCCTGTGAGTTTCAGCCACATTCTTGTGCATTAAAGGACTTTGAATATTATAATTCACCTATGATATAGGTACATTGTGAACTCTAATTTTATTCATAAATTGTCTCCCTGATTCCCTCTAATATTATGTTAAATTGTATGTGGGAGGTTGTGAATTCACTCAACTTAGTAACTAAAATCCTGATGATGTTTTTAACCACAAGTCAAATTTATGCCCCTCTTGAAGCCTTTAATCATATACCACATTTATTCAAAAGCAGTGACCTTCTTTAAAAGACATAGAACAATTCAGGCAGAAAGAAAAACATGAAAAAGTTTTGGTCATCAAACTTAAAAATGTACTATATTTGAAAGTCATGAAACTCCATTTTTAAAAATGTCATATCTTTAGAGGTCATGACTTTGAATACTAGTTCTTTTATTTATCAGTTGTAGAACTAGTTATTTAATTTCAGGCCTTAGTTTACTCACATATGAAATTTTGATAGTAGTCACCTCACACAGTTCTTATAAAAGGCACATGCTGTGAACTGGGCTGACACCTTAGAACTCTAGCCTGGGAAACAGAGTGAGACTCTGTCTCAAAAAATAAATAAATAAATAAAAAGCAAAATAAATAAATAAATAAAAGGTACAATAATATAATGCCAACATAGTATAAAATATATGAGTGCAAATATATTATATATGTTACATACATATATGTGTATATATATATAAAATGCCTATTAAGAACTTTACCTACTGTAAATGAATACCAGAATATTACAAGAGCCTTGCTGGAGCTTGGATCTGGAATGAGGAGATCTGGCTTCCATTTCTATATCTCTTATGTTAAATTGAACAACCTGAGAAATTCCCTGATCCCCTCTGGGCCTTATTCCCCATAGTCAGCTTTGTGGTTTGGTTAGTCACTTCCCTGTAAATATCACCCCATTGGAAACCTGAGGAGAGGGAGGGAGGAGACAGCCCTCAGAGAGCTGGATCTTTGTACTTAGAGGAGCAGATTGGACAGAAGTCAGAAGCTGCCAGGTGTACAGCCCAGTATTCTAGAATTTCAGGCTAAGGCAGGAATCTTGGCAGAAATCTAGTCATTATAGGTTACAATTTTCTCATGGGAATTAGAGGAAAGCTGTAACCTAGGGAATAACTTGAAGGTCCTACAGTCATCCTAGGAACTACAGTTACTTGGCTAACATACAAAAACTAGTTTCTGGCCTTGCATTCTGAAAATATGATATTCTGATTATACTTTCTGACCAAGCAGGCTGAGGGATAGGTGAAAGGTATGTCTACTAACTCTTCACCTACTATAGTGAACAGAGGTAGAAAGGATTCAAAACGACATCATCTAAAAAAAAAAAAAAAAAAAACAAACAGTATCATCTATCCCAGAGTGTTGTTTTGAGGTCCAGGGGTAAGAATTCATGAAGAAATGCTATGTATAATATAAAATCCAAAATAGAATATTGGTTTATATTGTATAATCTAACATTTCAACTCAGATTGCCTTTTCTACATCATTACAATAGATTATTTTGTAAAATAGATTATTGGTTTATATTATATAATTCAAAATTTTAACTGAGATTGCTTTTGCTATCTCATTAATTCTGATCAGTCAGTGAATTTATGTTCTTTTCTGATGGTGTCCAAATGTTATTTATCCAGATAAGATATAACAGAAACGTAATTATTTACGGGAGATTCAGCTCAGCTAATGAGAAGAGAGTACTGAAAGTATATTAAGATTTAGAATAATTTACTCTGATTGTGTTGAGATCCTATTGATAGTCAGCATTGTTGTTTTTATTCTACAGTGTCAATGCTTGCTCATTCTTCTCAAGTTTTTCTTTATTTTTAATTTTTTATGGATTATTTCCAAGTCCTTGGGAGTGCTAAGGAGAATATAGAATTCTGAAGACTACAAATAACTCCCAAACCACACTATATTAATTTGATGCCATCTTCTTCCTAAGCCAGCTATTTATCTGAACAGGCAGGGAGCAGGGAACAGAACAATAGAGTGCAAATTTCACTAAGGCTTTCCATGCACCTAATGATATATTCCAAAAGAGAACAGAAGGTAGAGAAAGAAAGGGAAAAAAAAAAAACCATGAATGATACATTCATTGAGAACATGGACTTCAGTATTCAAAATGTTGATCTGTAAGTGTAAATGCTATAACAAGTACCATTTGTCACACAGAAGTGAATAGTTTTAGTAACTCACATTTTTTCCAAGGATAGAGAATACAGATATAAAATCTTCATATGTTTAAAATTCAACATATGCTTATAATTTAGCACATATTTAAATTTTTTCTTTTTATTTTCATTGGGCAAAGAATCTCCCTCTTTTCTGCAGTTGCTTTTCTTTAGATCTCTTTTGTGATATTAATTATATTTTATGCAAATGAGAGAATTCAATTTTACCTACACCATCCAGCTCCATCACTGGCTGTCTTAATGAGAAAGGGAGAACTGAACTCTGGACTTATAAATAACCTTGGGCATGTACATGAGAGTAGCCTGAGTCACATGAGTGCCATCAGTCATGTCTGACAAAAAGAAACAGAGATTGGAAACCATTGCTTTAATTAGGAGGACTTTGAGAACATTATCTTGTATTTAGTCATATTGCTAAACACTGAAAGAAACTGGGCAGATGCGGAGAACAGGAACCCTTGTTATTCCATGCCTCAGAGGATGCACCAGCATGCGTATCTACATCAGGATGGACCTGTCACCTCCCATGACTTCAAAAACAGGGATAACGAAGTACAACAGTTATCTCTTTAGAAACTCTTGTTCCAGGTAATTTCTCTCATCAGTAGCAATTTTAATCAGTGTCAACCCAAGTCATTCATAAACAACAACCAAGTGTGTGTGTGTGTGTGTGTGTGTGTGTGTGTGTATTTCCTAACATATGTATTCCCTAACATTGCTTTTCATCATGGGAAAGAGAAGCGCCTGTGTTTGATTAATCTTGTGTTGTTGAATTTGATCACAGGGTAATCTCATTGTTCATACACTCCAATTGGCCAGAATAAGTGGCTTGAATTTTGATGTTTGGAGTTTTGCTGTGTTCATGAAAAAAGAGGGAGGAAAGAAAACTTTCCTTCAGAAGGGGAAAAAAAGCAAGAAAAGGCAATATATAGCCAAAAGAAAAAACAATCAGCAGACCTAGATTCAGATATGAGACACATGTTGAAATTATTGGAAAAGGGATATATAATAACTATGATTAATAATTTTAAGGATTCTAATGGAAAATGCTAATAATATGTATGGACAGCTGGGGAATTTAGAAGCAAGATGGAAACTTTAAGATAAAATAAAATGGAAATAAAAGCAATAGAAAACACAATATCAGACATAAAAATGCTTTTCGTGATCCATCAGTAGACTTGACAGAGCTGAAGAAAAAAATCAATGAACTTGAAGTTTTGTCAATAGAAATTATTCAAAACTGAAACCCAAAGAGAAAAAAGAATAGGAGAGGAAAGAGATCAGAGCAGCCAAGATCCATGGGACAATAAAAATCATCTAAAACCCCCTAAAATTCATGTAATTGGAATCCCAGATAAAGAAGAGAAAGGCAAAAAGAAGAGGCAAGTTAAATATATAAAAAGATATGACTGCAAATTTTTAAAACTAAAGAAACACGTTAGCCACAGATCTAAGATCTGAAAGCAACAAAGAGAATAAAACCCAGAAAAACATGAGTCATATGTATTCAAACCAGTGAAAAACAACAGAAAAAGAAAATCTTTAAGGCAGTGAGAAAAATAAATATGAACTATGGATGCATTCCGTAATATGGATGAGTCTCAGATGTATTGTGCAAAGTTGAAAAGAAAACAGACTCAGACAGCTATATACTGTGTGATTTCATTTACATGGCACTCTGAAATTTATGTAAAACTATAAGTACAGAAAATATATCAGTAGTTTCCAAGGGCTAGGATGGACAGTGACCTTGACTAGAGACTCCAAGGAACCTTTGTGGGTTTTGTAACTGGTACATATCTTAATTGTGGTGGTAGTGCTATGACAGCATGCTCTTGCCAAAACCTGAAGAATTATGCAATAAAAATAGTGAATATTACTGGATGTAAATTACATAATATCTTTTTTAAAAACTGTGGATGTATGTGGAAAAGCTCTAAAGAAAAAAATGGCTCCATGGAGATGGTAGAATTTGAATTCAGTCTTGAAAGTTTGATATGGTTGTTATAAAAGCTTGTTTTTTTTAATGAAAAAATATTCGTAGGCACTGAAAATAGTGCTTGGGATAATTTTGCTGTAACTAAACCCCTTTATTTGTACTTAACACTGACTGTGGGCAACCTAGACATAGTCAAGAAA